TGAATCTACTATTCTAACTCCGTCTTTGGATGAACAAAAGAAGAAGGGAATAGCACTGAAAGCAACCAAGGAGACCGTGGAAGAAGACTCAAGCGATGATGACAACGAGTTCGGACTCGTCATCAAGAAATTCCACAAATTTATGAAGAAGGAATTTGAGCGCAAAGGAAGAAAGCACAACGGTTCTAGACCGCTTCAAGTTTTGCACATGGATCTCTTTGGTCCTTCTAGAACGAAGAGTTTTGGTGGCAATTACTTTGCATTTGTGATTGTCGATGACTACTCTAGGTTTACATGGACCTTGTTTCTAACTCATAAAAGTGAGGCATTTCACGTTTTCAAAAATTTCTTAAAGAAAGTTCAAAATGAAAAAGAGACAACCATAGTAGTCATAAGAAGCGACCATGGGGGAGAGTTCGAACGAAATTTGTTCTCAGATTTGTGTGACGAACTTGGCATTGATCATAACTTCTCAGCCCCACGTACACCACAACAAAATGGAGTGGTGGAACGTAAAAATAGATGTCTCGAAGAGATGGCTAGAACTATGATCAATGAGGCAAAAATCCCTAAGTATTTTTGGGCGGATGCCGTGAGTACGGCGAGCTACGTATTAAACTGAGCCGTCATTCGACCGATACTCATGAAAACGCCCTATGAACTATACAAAGGAAGAAAGCCAAACCCTTCTCATCTTCGAGTCTTTGGTTGCAAATGTTTTATTCATAACAATGGCAAAGACAACTTAGACAAATTTGATGGAAAGTCGGATGAAGGAATTTTTCTGGGTTACTCACTACGTAGCAAGGCCTATAGAGTCTTCAATAAACGTACCTTGACTATTGAGGAGTCTCCTCACATTGTATTTTCCAAAGATAATCCTCGCTTGGCAAGAAAGGATATTTGTGATGATCTTACAGATTCATTAGAGAGAATACACGTTGATGACGATGAAGACAACACGGGAATATACATCAACACACAGCCGCAAACTAGGGAGATACCTCAAGCGACTAACCAAGGTGAAGAAGAAAATCAGGAGAAGGAAGAAGAACAAGAGGAACACGAAGAAGAAGCAACCGAGCTTCCCATAGTATGGAGAACAAACAAGAACCATCCGCTTGACCAGGTAATCGGTAGCATCAACCGCGGGGTAAGTACTCGTAACTCACTTAGGGACACCGTAGGACACATGGCTTTTGTTTCTCAAATTGAACCTACAACCATTTCCGAAGCAATAAACGATGAACATTGGACCTTGGCTATGCAAGAGGAGCTAAACCAATTCAAACAGAATGACGTTTGGGAATTGGTGCCAAGACCCGATGATCGTACGATTATTGGTACGAAATGGGTGTTCCGTAACAAACTTGATGAAAATGGAATAATCACTAGAAACAAAGCTAGGCTCGTAGCTAAAGGCTACAATCAAGAAGAAGGCATTGACTTCGAGGAAACTTATGCACCTATAGCACGTTTAGAAGCTATTCGTTTACTTCTTGCTTTTGCTTCGTCTATGGATTTTAAACTTTATCAAATGGATGTTAAGAGTGCCTTCCTCAATGGTTTTATTCAAGAGGAAGTGTATGTTGACCAGCCCCCGGGGTTTGAAGACTTTGAGTTCCCGATCACGTCTTCAAACTCAAGAAAGCGCTCTACGGTCTTAAACAAGCACCACGTGCTTGGTACGAACGTTTGAGTAAATTCCTTTTGGATAGTGGTTTCCAAAGGGGAAAGGTTGACACTACACTTTTTATCAAGAGTAAAATCAATAACATCCTTTTGGTTCAAGTTTATGTAGACGACATTATATTCGGTGCTACTAACGAGTCTTTGTGCAAGGAATTCTCAACGCTCATGACTAGCGAGTTCGAAATGTCGATGATGGGTGAGCTCGCATTCTTTTTGGGACTCCAAGTCAAGCAAATGAATGATGGAGACGTTCATTTGCCAAGCTAAATACTGCAAGGAGCTCCTAAAACGGTTTGAAATGGACAACGCCAAAGCCATGGCGACCCCGATGAGCACGTCCGACCATCTAGACAAAGACGAGAAAGGTAAGGAAGTAGAAGTCAAAAAGTATCGAGGTATGATCGGATCCCTTCTCTATCTTACCGCTAGTAGGCCGGATATCATGTTTAGCGTATGCCTTTGTGCAAGGTATCAATCATGTCCGAAGGAATCACACTTAACAGCCGTGAAACGGATCATGAAATACCTTGTTGGCACGGTTAACGTTGGACTGTGGTATCCAAAAGGCTCTTCGTGTCATCTCGCTGGGTATTCTGACTCGGACTTTGCCGGTTGCAAATTGGACCGTAAAAGTACAAGTGGGATTTGCCACTTACTTGGTAGCTCTTTAGTTTCATGGTTTAGTAAGAAACAAGTCAGTGTTGCGTTATCCACAACCAAAGCGGAATACGTTGCCGCCGGTAGTTGCTGTGCTCAAATCATTTGGATGAAGCAGCAACTCGTGGATTATGGCCTTAGTATCAGTCACGTTCCACTCCGTTGTGATAATACTAGCGCCATAAGCTTGACGAAGAACCCCGTTCTTCATTCAAGAACGAAACACATTGACATTAGGCCCATTTCATTAGAGATCATGTTCTCAAAGGTGATGTCGAAATTGAGTTTGTTGAAACACACAACCAATTAGCTGACATTTTCACAAAACCTTTAGAGAAAGAATCGTTCTTCCACATTCGTAGTGAACTCGGAATCCTTGACTCCACGATGATCTAATTTGTGCATTTTATCACTTCTTTTTCTTTGCTTGACCGTTTATTAACTTGAGTGTCAGAGGGTTTTCTAACTCTTTTTTGCAGGAACGGTTCGAAGTGAAGAATTCTGGAAATCAGGGGGAACCAGCGATGGGTGCGTTATACCATCGTTGGGAGGGAAGTCTTCACTTTTCCAGAACCCCTCTTCCCATCGATGGGTGCTTCTCCCCATCGATGGGTAATTGACTCTCTTTTTTTTAAAACTTTTAACGGATTTTCAGAAACACCTTACCCATCGATGGGTATTTCATCCCATCGTTGGGTGTTTGACACTATTTTTAAATTTTTTTTTTAATCGGATTCCCAAAATCACCAACCCAGCGATGGGATGGTATTAACATCGCTGGGAAGGCTTTCGTCCTTTATCCTTCACTTTCCAGAACACACCTTCCCATCGATGGGAGTGTCCACACATCGCTGGGAAGGCAATCTGATTTTCTCCTTCGCTTTCCAGTAGCGACCCTCCCATCGATGGGTAGTTTCTACCATCGCTGGGAAGGCTGTTGAAATTCAAAAATTATGGCCGTTGTGCACCGAATTTAATGCCCAACAGCCATATTTTTTGAATTCACACGTCTTTTTCCTCCTCTCCCTATATATTCACATCATCCCTTACCTTCTTAACACACAATTAACATCATTATTTCATTTCTTTAGCCTATACCACTTATTTCTTCAATCTTTCTTCAAAAACGCCTCAATCATGGCCGGAGGAAGATCAAAGTCTAAGGCATCCAAGAAGAAAAGCATCGCCGAACCCTCAAGCTCCGCGCCTTCTCCGTTCCCATATTTGGACGGATCATTTCTTGAGTTCGGGTCGGAGGAAGAACTAACACGCTTCCTCACTCACTTTGCCAAGCGCCCGATCTCTCCACCTCGCGTGCTCCCGGAGTTGTTTCCCCAAGACAAAGGGTACCACGACCTCGAAAACCAACGCCAAGCGTCAGGTTTGTGGCCATTCGTCTCCAAGAGCCGCTCGAGCTTCAGTCCCGCCTTCGTCCGGGCTTTCTACTCCAATCTCTGCCGTTCGCAGCAGCATCAATCTCTACGACATAGAGATTGATTTGCCTACCTTTGCTCGGGTCGCAGGGCTGCGCATCCGCGGTGACGACATCGCAACATATGGCGGCGATGATTGGATCCTCAACAACGAGGCGGTGGTCATCCGAGAGCTTCTGATCACCAACCTCATCCGCCACAGCGGCGCACCGACGATTCACTCGGCCCCACCGGACAAGCGCCTCCTCCTCTACATCATCACCCGGATTCTCCGCCCCCGGGACAGCAGCCATACCTCGCTCTTCAACGAGGACTTGAAGGCGATTCATGCCATCTTCCACGGCGCCTCCATCAATTGGGCGAAATTCGTGATGATCCACATGGCGGATTGCGCCTCCATCGCCACTGAGCGGAGCTTGCCATACGCCTTCCTCGTCATGGACCTCATCATCTCCGCCGACATCTCCATCGCCGGCCCGGATACGAAGATGACAAAGATTTGGATAATTCAAGACAGCACCTTCCGGAAGAAGTCGGGAGACCGGGACGGCGCAGGCCCAAGTCGTGCACCAGCCCCCGCTCCCGCCAATGCCTCTTTGCAATCCATAGCCGATACTCTGAATCGGCTAACCCTCATAGTGGATGGCATGGGGCAGTCAATCGAGCGGATGGATTGGACGCTGCAACGCCAACACCACGACATGACGGCGTTCTTTCGCGGCATCAACTACGTCCCGCCGCCCTTTGACAGCACCTTCCTCGGACAAAACTATGAAGGCGAGGATGAGGAGGATAACTCCTATGCTCCATCCTCCTCCCCCGACGAGGCCGACTTTGAAGATGCGGTCGACGGCGATCCCATGGACGTCGAGGACGCCGATGCTTAGACTTTTCTTTTCTCCTCTTACTATGATTGTATTTTTTTATTTCCATTCCGTTGTATTCCGCATTTCCCTTTTTTTCATGAATAAAAGTTTACTTTTACAGTTCTAAAGTTTACTTTTAATTCCTTTTGTTAATGTCAAAAGGGGGAAGATATTGAGGTTATGCATAAATTTAGGGGGAATTTTTTTTACTTTGTAAAATGGAATCTATTAAGGGGGAACATTGTTTTTTTTCAAAATAATCCTCCTATGCATAACCTCGTCTCGTTTGCCATTATCAAAAAGGGGGAAATTGTTGAAACACGGGCTTGTCACGTTTTCGTACTAAAGCCGTGTTCGTTCTTGTAACAGGTTTTGATAATGCCAAACCGCCATGATCAAGTCGAACATTGAATATACAAGGCGAAGAATGAAGATAAGAGCAAGAGCTAAACGAAGACCAAGAACGAAGACCTTAATCATAGTATTGAGTCGGTCTTTATTGTGATCAAGACCGACCCAATCTTTACACCTTGGCTCTTTAGGCTAAAATCTCTCATTGCATTTATTACATCATAAAAATGTTTTTCAAACTTGTTTAAGTCATTAAAAACACTTGGTGTTCGCCCAAACCAAAAACCAAGCCATCCAGTGTTCGGCTTTAAGAAACCAGCGTTCGGCTTTCGGTTGTCGGTTTTGGTTTTTGGCATCCGAACCAACCAAGTAGTTTTCAACATTTTATGATCTGCTTTCACTCTTTGGCATGTTTAAACGGTTCTCCAACAAAAACACTTTGAAAACCATCTCTCGTTTTTAGCCGTTTGACAAAAACCACGCAAAACGGCATAAACTTGGCTAGCCATGGTTTTTAATCAAATGAAGTGATTTTTAAAGTGTCTCACTTGATTTCTTAACCAAATACATCAAATAATTGTTTTAAACACTTGGTTTTTATTTTGGAGAACCTTGGATTTTTCGGTCGGGTTTTGCATTGGTTGGCTAGGCCGTGGTTAAGGCAAAAACCACAGGTTTTTGGCTAACCACCCACCCAGAGATGGAAAGAACATCCCATCGATGGGTAAGTAGCCCCTTAGCAAAACCAACTTCCAAAACCATGCCAAACAGCGATGGGAAGCTCTACCCATCGCTGTTCAAGCCTTGGTCCAACATTATCACAAGGCAGAATGCCCTTACCCAGCGATGGGAAGCTTTACCCATCGATGGGAACCCACCGATGGGAAGGCTAAACCATAGATGGGAAGGCATGACCGTTGAAAGTCATTTAAGGTTGATTCTTTCCTTGTTTGGAAGTCAACCTCCCACCCATCGATGGGAAGCTTGAACCCATCGATGGGTAGATAACCGTTGGCTTCAAAAACTGAAGGAAAATGGGCTTACCAGCGATGGGTAAGTTCCAAACATCGATGGGAAGCCAATATCCTGCAGATCCCAAATTTATTCAATCCCTTAAATCAAGCCAATCACCCCTTTAATGCATTGGTCCGTTGGAGCCTATTTTGGCACTATAAAAAGGGGTGTTTGGGTCTACTTTTCTCATCAATTCACTTCAAAATATTCATATCATCATTGCATTAAAACAACATCATTTTTCATAGCTTTCAAGAGCCAATTTGTGAAGTTTGAGTTGTTCTTGAGTGTACTTAGTTTACACATAATCTACTCTATAAGAGAGCCTCGTTCTTGAGTGTATTCGTGTTCTTAGACACTTTGAGAGAAAGTATTTCTCTCAGTAGATTCAAAGGAAGGGCTGTTTCCTTTGAAGGACTCGTTGAGGTTCGTGTAACTCGAACTCTCAAGTTGTAACGGTTTGTTAAGCACCCGCAAGCTTAACGAGATAGTAGTGTAGCTCGAGAGAGTCTCTCGGGAGGCTGGATTAGCCACAAGTTGTGGTGAACCAGGGTAAAATTCGGTGTGCCTCTTACTCTTCTCTTTACTTCTCTTTTAAGTTTTTAATTCCTGCGATTTCTACGATCAAACGCTATTCACCCCCCCNGTACTTAGTTTACTCATAATCTACTCTATAAGAGAGCCTCGTTCTTGAGTGTATTCGTGTTCTTAGACACTTTGAGAGAAAGTATTTCTCTCAGTAGATTCAAAGGAAGGGCTGTTTCCTTTGAAGGACTCGTTGAGGTTCGTGTAACTCGAACTCTCAAGTTGTAACGGTTTGTTAAGCACCCGCAAGCTTAACGAGATAGTAGTGTAGCTCGAGAGAGTCTCTCGGGAGGCTGGATTAGCCACAAGTTGTGGTGAACCAGGGTAAAATTCGGTGTGCCTCTTACTCTTCTCTTTACTTCTCTTTTAAGTTTTTAATTCCTGCGATTTCTACGATCAAACGCTATTCACCCCCCCTCTAGCGTTGGTCTTTTATTCTAACAACTGGATGTGGTTCTCACATCTGTACTTCTATGCAGAACTTGCATGAATGTAGACAATTGACGGAGGGAGAGATATAACTAAAAGTCGGCAATGGCGCACTCGTCTATGCATTGGCCGTCGGAACCTATAGTTTATCTCTACCTAGTGGTCTTATATTGCATTTGAATAATTGTTTGTTTGTACCTAGTATGAGCAGAAACATCATTTCTGTATCCTGCCTTGACAAAGCAGGATTTTCGTTCGTTGTAAAAGACAAAACACTTTCTGTCTTTAGAAATGATATATTTTATGCAACTACAAAAATGACCAACGGTCTCTATGTCCTTGACATGGATACCGCAATATATAACGTAGATGTTCAGAGAAATAAACCTAACAGTTTGAATCTCACGTACCTTTGGCATTGTTGTTTGGGCCACATTAATGAGAAACACATATCTATGTTACATCGCTCAGGTGTACTTGATTCATTTGACTTCCAGTCATATGCTGTATGTAAATCTTGTTTACTTGGTAAAATGACAAAGGCTCCATTCACCGCTCACGGTGAAAGGGCGAGTAACTTATTGGGTCTCACACACTCTGATGTATGTGGTCCAATTAACACTGTTGCAAGAGGTGGTTATTCTTACTTCGTTACATTTACTGACGACCTTAGTAGATATGGATATGTGTATCTCATGAAACACAAGTCGGAATGCTTTGACAAATTCCAAGAATTCAAGAACGAAGTAGAAAAACATTTAGGCAAAAGTATTAATACCCTCCGCTCGGATCGAGGAGGTGAATACTTAAGCCTGGAGTTCGATGACTATCTGAAAGAGCATGGGATCTTATCCCAACTCACTCCTCCGGGGACACCTCAGTTAAATAGAGTGTCTAAGAGGAGAAATCGGACATTGCTAGACATGGTCCGGAGCATGATTAGTCTGACAACATTGCCAGAATCATTTTGGGGATATGCATTGAAAACAACAGAACACACACTCAACAGAGTTCCATCTAAAGCTGTCGAGAGCACACCATACGAACTATGGCGTGGGAGTAAACTGAGTTTCTCGTACTTTAAGATTTGGGGCTGTGAAGCTTATGTAAAACGTCTCATGACGTCTAGTAAGTTGGAGCCTAAATCTGATAAAGTAATTTTTGTGGGATACCCCAAGGAAACTAGAGGGTATGAGTTCTATCATACATCCAATAAAAAAATTTTCGTTGCTCGGAATGGAACCTTCCTTGAGAAGGAGTTTCTTTCTGCTATCACTAGTGGGAGAAAGGTAGACCTCGAAGAAATTCAAGAACCACAAGAAGAAGTCGCGATAGTATTGGAACCTGAGCAATGAGATCAAGCAATTGAACCTCAAACTGCTCAAGATATACCCCGTAGGTCAGACTGGATACGTAATCCTCCGGTCAGATATGGATTTCTCATGTCTGATGAAGGTGACGTCTTGTTGGTAGATCAAGGCGAACCAGAGACCTACCTCGAGGCAATTATATGCCCCGAATCCGATCTATGGCTCGAAGCCATGAAAGCTGAAATGGAGTCTATGTACACAAACCAAGTCTGGACTTTGGTTGATGCGCCCGAAGGGGTAAAACCCATTGGATGCAAGTGGGTCTTCAAAAAGAAGACAGACGTAGACGGGAAGGTTCATACCTTCAAAGC